CTTTGTAACCGCGGCGGCTGTGGTACACACCGTACTTTGGGCCAGACCTTGAAATACAGATGGTAATGATTATTATTAAATCGATTTCTGTCGAACAATGTAAACAAATGTAGCAATTTTCTTGGTAACATTATCATTTTGAGATTTGTATGCGATTCGGACAGAATGGAAGAATTCGGAACAATATGCATTTTTTTGGGATTGTCATGTAGATATTTTATGAATATTTTCCTATATCAAATAACAATCCACAAGCGGCCACATGCTTTATAATTCATGTGTCTGTGATTCGGCTCGGAGTAAATCAAGCGAAAAGATCTTTTCCGCAATTTGAATAGAATCGCAACTTGAGTGTGCTAATTTTTTTTTGAACGATTGTAGTTTTTACTGCGATTATAAAAAAGCACCATTCAAATTACGAGCGCCGTGATTATGATTATCTGATTAGCTCCAGTTGAAATCCATAAATTAACTCAGTTCAATGCAATAAAATACAATTGCACATTTACGAACGGAAAAATGGTGAAAAAAAAAACAGCTAAAGATTGCCGGAATGGTTTGGTTAATAACTATAAATTAGTTTCAATTTGGATTATTTATGGTGACCGAAATGAGCGGCAATGAGAATATGGATTCAACATTTTTCGTATTCAAATATCCGCCAGTTAATTTTGTAATCGCAAGAATTTACAGCTGCGAAATTTTAGCAGGAGAAAAAAAACGCCGTTTTAAGGTTGAAGAGAAACGAGGAAAAAAAAGTTTGAATTGAAACAAATAGGCGCGAACAGAAAACGATTGCAACGATTGATTGAGAAAAGAGATCGTCAAATAACATGATAAATGTGGTTTGTTTACATTGGACCTGAAATGTTTGAACAACAAGTTAAATCATTCGCATTCGACTAAATGAATATGTATACATCTGTTTTAACTATGTGATTCAAATGTTTGATATGCTTTTGCTTGTCGCTCACCAAATTGTTGGATCTCTCTCACTCTTGGGCCGCGCGCTTCAAAATATAATCAACAAGCGCATTCGCTCCACTTATAACAAACTACTATCTCGCAATGAATTTTTCCGTGTGCGCTCCGCAACATAACATTTAAATATATACCATTTATTCAATAATAAAATATAATTACTTAATGTAATCGATGCATTTACAACACAGAATACCACGTCCAGTTTGGTTCGGGTGCGAGTTTTGAACGCGCGATGAACACCGCAATCGTTGTGGTTTAACATGTGCGCTTACTTTAAATGTGGCATAAAGTGTGCACACACATTGCACATTCGAAGAAGTTGAAACGAGATTTGGTTGAAATTCCAATGTTTCTCACGGCAATTGCACAAAATTCAATTTGAGCTTTGCTACAGTTCACACACTTTACTTGCCCAAAAATGATGGTCCAACGAACGAAAGAGGAGAAAAAGAACCACTCGAACGAAAAAAAAAACAATATCACAACAAATTTAACCACCAATTATCCAATAACTATTTGGTGAAGAAATTGGTCGAGGCACGAAATGAGAACGACGCATACCATGACGCTGATGTCAGAAACAAAACAATCAACATATTTGACCGGAGGACACTCCAAAGCTAAAGCTGATGAAAAGAAAAAGTCAATGGTAAACAATTGGCACTCAGTCGCCTTGGGATACAATGCATACTGCAATCGCTGATCTCTGTGTATGGATTTCATACTTTCCCCAACAATCAGACGAATGTGTGCATCAGCTAAAATTGCAATTAATTTCAGTATGCTTCATCTTTGCTTCACTAAATAACATCATTTAAGTCAATAACTGAGTAAATAGCCGATATGCTATTTTTGACATCGAACTCGAGTTTCCCGAAAGAATGCGGTTCACCTGAAACCGTTTCGTCGAAATGTTTGCAAAATTAGATGCTGAATTTTAATCGAATCGATGGGAAAAATGAAACTTTTACTTCGGCAATTGCATTTTTTCCACTGAATAGTGACCATAATAGTTATAGTGGATTTTTTTTCGTTCTAGAAATTTATGATCGAATCATTAGCTGAAACGAAATTGTCGTGCTTGAGTTTCAAGAGAAAACGTGTTGATGCCACCGGCCATTGCGGGAATTCAATGAAATCAGTAGCTCTTGCAGCTTGAGAACAGTGCATAAAAGTCTATGAAGTAGCTGACGTAATTCAGGTTTCATTTGCTATCTTACATAAGCCGATCTTAATTAACTCAAAACGATTCGTTTGATTTCCTTCAAAACCAACCGGAAAGTTGATCGTTCTTTTTTTGATATGACTCAATTTCATGTGACTGAACATACAAAAACCGATCGTCATTCATTCGTCCAAAGTCAACAAAAGTGACAAGCATTTCAATGTTTATAATTGCCAAAGCACTTCATCGTCTGTCATAAAAGGTGATTACTGATTATTATTCGAGCGCATAGAGTGTTTAACATTGCAGAAAATTAAAAAGAAATTCATTTGCTTACCTTACCAACCAAGGCATATTCTTCACATCAATAAACAAAATAAACACTGGAAATGCGTGTTCAATGCTGTCTTCTTTACAAAAAAAAAAACGATTTGCTTGACTTGACCGAATCCGCTGTTCACATTCGTTTTCAAGACAGAAAAAAATGTTATCTATAGAAAACAAGCCCATTCTTTGTCACCTCTCAAAAAAGAAGAATGAAACGTTCAAGTAGTTTTTCGATTGTAAAAATTCATACATACAAGGTTACGGGCAATTTATTGTGATCGTTCAATGATCATAAACGTCTTCGACTTAATGATTAATTAAAAATTATTAATTTTACTTTTGAATGGGATCTCTTCCCTCACCTTTTAATTTTGTTGTTTTGATGGCTAAAGTGCAAGAACGGCGGATACCGTTTTACTTAAACACTGTCCACCGACAACAACATCGCATTGGCGATCATGCGAAAGGAATAAAGAAACAATATGAATCAAATATATCGATACCTACAAAAGCTAATAAAGTGAAGGAAAAGAAGTCAGGCGAAGAAACGAAAAAAAAAAAAAATGATGAAAAATGAAGTACAACTCAAAAAAAGTGTATTTTTTCTGAATCCGTTGAATAGGAAAAAAAGGGTGTGGTATAAGCGCACACCATTCATTCGCAGATCTTGGAGTCTATTCACTAAACCGTAACGAGAACAACAATTATTATAAAGCATATTTATTATACATTTTTCTTTCTCTTTCTCATCATTCGGTGATTTCATTTTATTCGTATTGTTTGCATTGCAATGCGGCATAAGTTGCCGTTTGATATCTCTTAATTATTGGCCATGAAGTCGCTCGCGTCTTCATATTTATTGCGATCCATTGCATAGCCATATCTCTTCTTTTCAGTTGTTATTCTTTATTATTTTTTTTTTTTTCTTATTTGATTTTCTACTCAACAGAGAGAAAAAAAAACGAACTAAAACCCAATAATCATAGTGCCAGTGTCAGTTTTTGTATAAATCTTATTGTGCAAAGTGCTCACTGAACCTGATAATTACTTTCGGTTACACTTGAATTGGAATAAGACATTTTGCTGTTTGTCTTATTCTTCATCATCGTTCCTTTGCTTACTCATGCAATTTTATGTGCCACATTAAACAGTTGCGCTGCTGATGCTGCGCCTTACATTGTGTGTACAATATTCATCAATATGAATTAAACAACAACAAAAACTGGCAGAATATTTCCGTTTTCATTTCAAGTCTAAGTAAATAATGACATGGAATTAATAAATTTCAAATGAAAAGGAATTGATGACGACTACGCTACACACACGCTTCCTTCGGGCCTCAAATCACCTTGTGCATGCACTTTAAATCTGATGCTTCTGTTCAATGCTCCGATTCAATATAAGTTTTATGCATCAAGAGAACAACAACAACAAAATATGAGATGTTATGATGAATTAAACGAACGCTATGTGATTAACCTTTTTCGAAACAATAGTCAAATCTAATTGATTATTTGTTGTAAAAATTAGTTTTGACGGCATAATTTGCTATATGAAACATAAATTGAACACCAAATCCAAATCAGAATGTTTTAGTTTTTCAGAAAATGCGCTTTTCATTTGGCCTTTTTGAAATGTTGACGGACAAAATCGATGATCCGAAACAATATGCTTCGGTTTATTTAAAAGAGCAAATCAATTCAGCATTTTTTATGCCCAAAAATATACTTCCATTTAATGAAACAAATTAAAACAAAAAAACTTCTTATGCTTCTTTAGTTATAATGAAAAAAGTTCAATAAACTTGAAATTAAAATCACATTTTTTTCATTGTCGGTACTCTGGAAACTATTTAAAATTTTAATTTTCATAGATACTTTGAAATGTAAATTGATTCCAATTAAACAGTCTTGTGTTTATGTATACACGAATAACGTGAAAATTGTAATTGGAAAATAAATGCCCAGAAGGATCTCTTTCCCAAGGGAGTACATTTTATGCGGTGAAAATGAAAAAAAAAACCTTTTTAGAAACAGTTATATCTTGTTCCATGTAATATATATTTTAACACAGTAAAAGAGCTTTCGTCAATCTTACAAATTCTCGCTTTAGTCGTTTGTGGTATTTTTACTTCGATATCTTAGTAGACATGGCAAATAAAAGCACAATTTTAAATAAATAAAAACACAATTACTTCCAACGTTACTTCGATCGTTTATTTATTTCATGTTTTTTGTTGCTCTTTTTCGATTCCCTCTTGTACTTGCATTTTCTTTACATGATACCACAAATGATACCAATATGTCTTTTTTATTGTAGTTTGATTCAAAATTAACAGACCAAACCATCTTTTTCATCAATTCTCCGAGAATTGAGTTATTATTTTGATTTTTTCCCTTGACAATTTCGATTGCAGTAATCATTTAATTCTATGTAATAATCAGAGTATCCATTGGATCAGTAAAATATTTGTATAAATATACTGAATTTTCATTTAATCAATCATTCTATAAAGTGAAATTGAGCAGTGAATTCGTAAAAATTATATTTCCCAAAGAATTCGTAGTGAAAAGTTAAATCGTTAGATTATCTTAAGAGTCTTTTTCATTCAAATAAGTAATAAAAGAATTATGGCGACGCCGGTTGATCCACTCGTAAAATTTTCTATGGATGTAATTCAATTTTGCGACGAATTTGAAGAGGTCTTTGCAGGTATGGAAGGAATAAGCTATGATAAAACACTTACCGAATTACATATTTTGCACAAATTACTGTTTCTTAAATCATTCATTTGTTTAGGTAGCAGTTTTCCCTATAGATATCAAGGAGAGGACATGATGGGAAATATTATGCACATTTTGGGTTTTTTTCCATTAGATTTTTACAATATTGGTGATGAGAGAATAATATTAATGTGGAATCCGCATTTAGAGACAACTCATAGAATTGGATTAGATAATTTTCTTTTCGCAAACTTTTTAAGACTGGAGGAATATTTGGGAATCAGAGATGATCTTGAAAGATTATTTATCGACAGATTTTATGGTTAGCTGAAAATTGGAAATTGCGAGTGAAATAACAATTCAATCAAATATTGTAATATTACGTATTTTTAGGTCAACGTGTCTATGTCGAAGATGGTCGACATAATTGGAAACCTGTTAAATTGGTAGGAATGAAAGTTGATCCTACTGATAGAGCAGTTACGTGTGCCTACTATGATAGTGGCGAATTAAGACAGTGTGACATTAACATCATTCGTTACCAAGCTAAGTTTTCAGAAGAACATCAAAAGTATATACCATACCATCCCTCTGAATGGACTGATAGTTCTGAATCTGATGATGTTGTTGATATTTCCTAGTACCTAAGACATGACATTTGTAACTTTTTGATTAACTTTTCAAAATTTTCGTCAACATCACCAAAATGCCAAAAGTAATAAATGTACTACCAAAATGAAATTCTTCAAAAAAGTTTATTATTTATTGAGATTTCTAAGAAAATTCAAGTCATTTATTCTGTCTCTTTCTATTTCACACACAATACGAATCAGCACATACCTAAAATTAATAAGATAACGAAATTCACCAACAGAATGATTGGAGTAAAATCATGAAAGAAAAAATCTCGTTGATTCCTCGATTATGTGCATTATTTCAGTTCGAATTCAACAAAACCGACTTCAATAAACTAATGTCTTGAAATCAATATTTTTCGATTTTCTTCCGTTCCATACATACAAAATGTGGTTTTGATCATTGTTGATTGGTAAAAATAGAGAAAATACGTCGAAAAAATGGAAATTTCCCTACAAAAGGCTAAAAAAACAAAGTGATGGATCATAAAATGGGATATCACCTTAAACAGTAGCTGACAGTATACAAAAAGGCTTAACAAATTGTCGTCTTTTAAGTGAAATAACGTACACATTTGATTAAGTGTGTGCCGAGAGAAAAAGGGGGAAACGACAAAATCAATAAAAAAAAGAGCAACAACGAAAAATGACGATCGTAAAAAGTTTGGTAAATTACAATACATATTTTGTAATTTAGATCGTGTTGTTGTGAGGTAGTCGTGGCTTCAAAATCGCTTTTAATCAATATCTTTGGGTTAAATTGTAGTTGACATCGTCGAACTCACTTGAACATTGTTTTTCAACACTCGCATTCCTTTTGTTTGTTTTTTATTATTATTCCCGATCTTCTATTTCCACCGTCTTTTCAATTACGTTATTTGAATATTATTCCGGAGTCAAAACATAAAAAAAATAAAATAAAAAAATCCCCATTTACGATGGATTGATTCCATGAAAAATTGTATACTTCCTTCCACATGTTGTTAAGTACCTGAATTTGCATATTAAACAATATATAAAATTTTAATGTAACGTGCTCATCGCTAATGTTCATGCGCATGCATGAATCGAGTGTTTTTCATCGTCCTAACTTACGACGAGTATAAAAGTGTAGTTTTTGCTTCGATACTAACAGGAAAAAAAACAAACAAAATGTGTCGCTTACATTTATATCTCACTATTTTCAAAGCGATTCTTTGACTGCGACGCAATTTCTTACCATATAATAAGTAAACAAGAGGAATTTGATAAAATCATTTGCGCAGAAGAAAAAACTGCACAATGCTAATCGATTGATCGATTCAAATGTAGCTTATCATTTTGTTGAATATATTCAAATATTACAAAACTATTTGCGTGCTTAGTTTATCGCGCATTTTATTATATTAGTATACGATAAAGATATCTTTTTTTTTTAAATAAATACACGAATATTTTGTCCTCAGCTCTGTTTCTCCTGTTTATTTTTTTTAACTCTCAAAGGAAGGCGTTGTTGGCACGTACCAGACAGTTGCGTATTGAATTTAAATACAATGTCTTTGCTGCAATGATATAATGACCTATTTATACACTGGCTGGGACTTCCGTTTGGATTTCCTTTTGGATTCATTCATATTTTTTTATTAAATGTGGAAGTAGTTGCAGACGCATATTCAAAATTATTGAAAATCAAACATTGATTGTTATTAGTTCATTGATTTTATTTCATAATAATAATCAAGATAGCACAACCTCTTCTGTATATCGTTTTGGTCATCTTTTTTTTATTGTATACAGCTGGATTTCATTTTGTTGTTGTTGTTGCTGCATTTTTCGCTTATTTATGTAAAAAAATGTCTGCACTTGAATCTGTGAAATCAATTGTTTGAACATGTGTGAACAATTGAGCATACACCAAAAATCTACCATATGTTTGTATGTTACACGTAATCATACACTGTAAAATAGAAGTTTTAAAGCGTTCGCTGAAATTCGCTCCTGAGGCGATATTTTCGTAACGAAAAACATTGTTAGTCAATTTTGATAAAATCACTCTTTATGGATGGTTTCATAACTCAATGTGCAAAAATTTGCACTTTGCCAATAACAACAACCGCTCATGCTCATATGAAACCCATATTATTATTATTTTTACAATTGTATGGTGCTGCTCATCGTTCATCTGCGTGCCTATTTTTGGTATCGTTGATCTTTTCCGAATTGAGACTATTTAGAATGTTATCATTGGAATCGAATCATACAAGAAACCCGTTGATTTTTCATATTCACATTCGTATAATATTTTGAAAGTGTACGCTCACACCAAATCCCGATAAGGGTCTACATATAGTTGTAAAATAACAATAAGCAATTTTACACATTTTTGCAATTGTAATTTTAGAATTCAATCAATAGCTCTTTATATTATTATTATTTTCCGCACTTCAACACACCAAAGAAAAAGAACAACCGACGAACGCGTTTACAAAACAAATCGCGCATTTCCAATGCATTGACGTCAGTAATTATCATACATGTGCAACGTACACACATTTTGGCACAATCAAACTCAATTTCTTAAATAGAAAGAACAAACTAAAAAAAAATCGTATCAAAGAAAACTAATAAAATATAAAGCGGTATGTTCTAGCCAGGAAATCGGGTCAAAAGGGGTTTCATTCAGTTCACAAGAGGCCACCTGATCACTTTTCACAATTCAACATTAATTGTATTTGTTTTTTTTTTACAGTTGATCAAGCGTTATTTATGTAGCGTACAAAAACCTATTCTTGAATTAATTGGCGATTTGAATGCAATGAAACTCCACACCGACAAAAACAACACGCCTGCCACAAAGTTGGCCGGTCTTTTCTATGCGTATGCTTTTACTGCTGTTTTTTTTTTTGTTATCTTACGACAAGAATATACCCATCTAAGTTCATTCGAAAAGAAAAGAAAAGAAATGTCGATTGTTTCATTTTGTTGTGAATTTCGAAACAGGAAAAAAGTAGCCGTTGAAATGGTATTTGTTTAAAAAAAAAAATCAAATGTTCCCTGTTGTTGTTGCAGTGTTCCAAATGGCATGATAAGGTTTATTGACCATGGGTATCAATGGCTTGTGTTTCTTGCGCCATGTGTATTAATTAATTGATTAAATTTCCCTTCAATTGCTTTCACTCAAACCGAACACAAACGAAAGACCGTGTAGTTCATTTTCGGTTTGCCGGCTTGTGGGCACGATAAAAAAAACTAGAATTGGTGACGGAATTTACAATTCCAACGAGAAGCAATTAAGCGCACACCGGCACCACTTCAACTCGATTGATTTGCGATTTATTCCAAAATCGCAATTATAAATTGCCTATTGTAAAGTGATGAAATCGAATTGAAAAACAATGTTTCGTGTTTTGTAGCTCGTTTGAATTTTTATGCAAATGGGCGAAAGAAACACACACAAAAAAAGAAGGGAAAAAGGTTCGTTCGAGTGCGAATCACAGCCGCTAAATGGCCACACGGCCAATTTCATTTGCATTTTTAGGTTTGTAAATAGACGGTTTCGGCGCGGTTCGCGTTTCGATACAGTTTTTTTTTGTCTCTGTTTGTTTTATTCTTGGAAAACAGGTGACGTGGATGTGGCAAAGTGTATTGCAATGTAAAGTCGCAAATAAAAGGCGAATACTAATTCAACTGGCAGCCAAGTGAAAAAAAAACCACAAAACACTTCATAGTTGAAGGGAAAAAAATATAGACAAAAAAGTCTTGCGCAATGGTGTCGATGGGCACACAATGGACGATCCCAAAACGATAGCCGTAAATAAAACAGGCCACAATCATATGCACAATCGACAATGAATGCAACAAGAGAAAACGATTTTCTAATAGTTGTGCTTTTATTATAATTTTTTTTTCCTTCGTTGAAATCTATAAGGAAATAAATGGTTTGTGATTGCGCGTGCAAGGAAAAAAAAGTATATACAAAGGCAACAACCATCGAAATAATTTATTCGATTGCACTGCATTTGTAAAGTCGCACGAGTGCTGATTTGACTAAAGTATTCTGGGCGTTGATTTTTATTTTGTTGTTGCTGTTGTTGTTGTGATTCGTGTATGAATATTTTGTGCAAATGCACTTGATTAACATTGAATGGAATGTTATTATGCATATTGAATGTTGTTTCGGTCATGTATTTTGTATTGTATTTCGTTCAATCGTACAACGATCGGAACCGACGTACCAACCGTCTCTTGGTTAGTGTACACAATAAAAAATAATTATTGACATCTATTTCTGTGGCAGCAAATAAATGGCTTCAACTGCCGATCGTCGCCGGCCCGGTTCATGTATATATTGTGACACTATGTATGATGAACAAGACCAATGGAATTAAAATAAATGAATGCAATCACACACCGTTTGTACCAGAACACACACGATGTCCGTTTGCATTGCATTCGCTATTTTGCACCTTGGCACTTTAATCTTTTGCCAAGAAGCATAAAGCACATCATTATATATATATGTTTATTTGCATATATTTCCACCGTCATTTTGGTATTTAAATGAAATTGGCGACAGTGGCAGAATAAATTACAACAATCTCAATGATGAACATTTGTTTCACACTGAATATCAACTAGCATAGAAATCATGGGGGAGTTTTGCCGCCTCATCCAATTCGATCGAAATTTTCGGTGAGAATTTTTGAAAACTGTCTGGAAAATCCCATTTTCATCTCAAGAAAGTTACTCTAAAAAAATCTTTTGAAAGAACTTCCCCTCTTCCCATAGTAAAAAATTCAATCTCATTCATCCGAATATTAGTCTGTATATTCAAAAGTGTGCAATTTCGAATGCGACAAATGATTTCATTTGTAAAAAAAACTGATATTACACCAGCAACGACCTGCACAAATTGGCGTTCAACTAAAACGAAATAAAATAAAATTGTATCACATCACAAGAGCAATGCAATTCTGGCTCCAACCAATTTTCCATAGCGTCCAAAGCCAGCTAAAATGGTTTTTTTTTTGTTAATTGGTCGACTGGTAACGTTGGCGATGTGAACATAAGCTGCCTCGATTACGAAATAAATCAGAAAGGTTAATTAATTAG